CCCCCCCCCCCCCCCCCCCCCCCCCCGACGTCTAAAAGAGCCGTTACAACATTAAAAAAATTATAAATTCAATAAAAAAAATCTATAAATTCAATAAAAAAAATTTATCTCTCTATCTTCTCTCTATAATTCTATCAAATATTTTTTTAAATATTTTTCTATTTATTATATTTTTTTTACAAGATATTTTTAAAATAAGATCGTCTAAATCTGATGATAAAAAGAGAGCTATCATTTTTGTTGTTTAGCTACGACTTGCTATCAGTGGTGGCAAGAAGGTGAACAAGAAGCAGAATATTCCAGACTTCAGACCCGATGACAATATTAAAACCGGGATCGAGCGGTTGTGTATGTTTCACTTCTCAACTACTACTTCAATACTCTGTGTGTTTATACACCGGAGGATTTTAGTAATTGTTTTCGGATGAGTCGTCCTCTCTTTTTACGGATACTTGCCGAAATTGAACGCGAGGTGCCTTGGTTCACACAACACTTTGATGCGAGAGGGGGATGCGAGTTTAGCAGTGTCCAGAAGTGCACTGTCGCGCTTCGTCAGATGGCGTACAGGACAACATCTGAGATGTCTGACAAATACTTGAAGATGTCGGCTCAGAGCACCAGGTCTTGTGTTTACAAATTTTCTAAATCTATTATTCGAATTTATCATAAAAGATATTTACGTAAGCCTACAGCGAGCGACATTGAATAGTTACAGGCAAGACATGCCGCTAAACACAGCTTTGTCGGCATGCTTGAGAGCATAGATTGCACACTTTGGGAATAGAAAAATTGTCCCACTGCGTGGCATGATCAGTTCTCCCGGGGTGATAATTACAAGCCTACTATCATGCTCGAATCTATTGCTTCAAATGACTTGGGTTTTGGCATGTTATGTTCGGTGTCGGGAGTTCAAACAACGACATCAACGTTCTCGATCAATCACTTGTTTTTGACAATCAAATTAATGAGACCGCATCCGGCTCGTCTTTTGAGCTTAGAGGAATGCTTTACAAGCGTGGATATTATTTGATTGATGGAATATATCTAGATTATTCTTAGATTATCAAATTCCTCTCTGAACCACTGAGTCTTAAACGCTATACCTACAAAAAAGCTCATGAGGCGGTGTGAAAACATTGAACTAGCCTTCAGGGTGTTGAAGGCTAAGTGGCACATTCTAGATTATCCGTCTAAATATTTTTCTCAAACAAAAATGAGGTATCATGTACGCATGTATTATTCTTCATAATATGATCATAGAGAACAATGAGTTTGCGATTTGTCATTACAACCCGGACGAGATGCCTACGTACGAAGAAATCGATGAAGAAAAAAGAAGCGAAAAAATCGCCAAGAAATACGAAGCCGAGAGATTCACAATCCACTAACAGCGAATTTGATCAAACATATCTTCAGTCGCTCAAATAATCAGTAATTTGTACGTAGTGTTATTTATTTTATAGATGTAATATTTTGATTTAATGAATGTAATTTTCTTATTTAATGAAAGCGATTGTTTTTATGAATAAATTTTTTTTAATGAATGTAATTTTTTAATGAACTATTCTCCTTTCAATTTTTTTAAATAATTAAATAATTAAATTTTATTAATTTAATTTTAGAAGATGTATATTTAAAATGTTAAAAATGAAGGTTTGAAACCTCAGAGCTTCAAACTCATTTCCATTGAAACTGTGAGAAAAGTTAAAGTTGACGTGGCAGAGAGAGAATGTTTGAAGCCTTGGTTTGAAGACCTGGGGCTTCACGGGTATTTTCAGTGCTCTAATAAGTTGAAAAATCGGTGAATAGTGACAAGTTAGAAAAAAATTATTTTTATTCGATGTTTTAATAAGTTCAAGTGATTAGAATTTGTTTAGAAAGAGAGAAGCTTTTTGAATTACGGAGTACATTCGTTTCTAAATAGAGAAAATAAAAATCGAAGAAAATTTATTTACTTTCAAAGTTATTTATAACAATAATTTTTTTTATCTTAAAGTCATTGAGATAACATGATGACACCACCACGAACAACAACCACAACTATAATAATAATAATAATAATAATAATAATAATAATAATAATAATAATAATAATAATAATAATAATAATAATAATAATAATAATAATAATAATAATAATAATAATAATAATAATCATCATCATCATCATCATCATCATCATAATAATGATAATAATAATAATATTTAATAATAATAATTATTATTATAATAATAATAATAGTAATAATAATAATGATGATCAACATCTCTTTTGCGGATGACCTAATAGTTGGTAAATCAATCCAGTATACAATGAAGGTTCTGGAAAAGTTTAAGAATACAATTAGCCTTAAGATAAACAAGCATAAATCTCATATTGTGTTTGGAGGAGTGAATCAACCGAGGAGGGAATAGCTACTTAAACCTACTGATATGAAACTGGGTAAGCTACCCTTCATATACCTTGGCTGCCCTATTAAAACTGCAAGACTAAAAGCTGGGGATTGTGAACCATTGATTAATAAGCTCACAAACAAGATTACTGCATGGGGACCAGACATTTCTCTTACAGTGCTAGAATCAGGATCATAAACTCAGTGCTAATGGGTATTATAACCTTCTGGTCAAGAATTTTTATTTTACCCAAACAGGTAATAGAAAAAGTCATAGCTATCTGCAGAAACTTCTTTTGGAGCAGCTCCCATGAACAAAAGAGCCCCATTGGTTCAATGGGAGGAAGTCCGTCAGAAGAAGAAATTTGGAGGTTTGGGAATAAAGGTTTAAAGTTTATTTTCTAACAAAAAAGAAGTATAATTTATTTGGGTACAAAGGAACTATTATATACTTTAGTACTTTCTCCGTCTTAAAACGTTCTCTCTGATTTTGTTTATGAGATTTGATCGATTTTATTTTTAAATCAATTTATTTGATTATAGGTGTAAAATTTAAAAATGAAATTTATATATTAAAAAAATTATATCAAAAGTTCTGGAAAACAAGAGATGACGAGATTATATTATTCATCAAATAAATAATAAAAATATATAAAAAGTGAGGAAAATTTATCCATATTAATAGTGACTGGAAACAACATTTTAAGATAAAAAGAGTATCTTTTTTAATGGTATATTTATTGTACAATTTTTTTTGAACATTAATAATTCTAGTACAATATAATATGTGTTCATATAATATGTTGTTTTTAACACTTTGTGGTATGTAGGTGATGGGGTGACTAGCTGATATGCCGGGGGCGACTTGGGCGCGGCACCGCGCCGGAGGAGCATGACTCCTCAAAGGGTACGGCCATCACCCAATGAGGGAGCATTTTTGTTTCTTTTTAATTTTTTAAAATTTCTAATCAATCAAATTAATAAACAATTCCATATCTATTAATCTAAATCAATATATCATACCACACATTTTTTCATCAGTCCACATCATATATTTTTACACTACACTCTCCATCATACTTATTTTTTGAAAAACGTTAGGGGTACATCAAAGGTGTACCCCAAATGCCCCCACCCCCTCCTTGTCCATAAAAATAGGCAAGAAAATTCAAAAAAAAAATAAGTAAATAAGAATCAAATAAAAATGAATGATTATGGAAGAGGTGAGAGACATTTGGGGTACATCTTTGATATACCCCTAACATCTCTCTTATTTTTTATATCACCATACCACATATACGAAGTAATTCATCTAATCCATCAACTTTAGCAACTTGAACCATTTGGACCCTTGCCAATCTTACTCATGAAGCAAAATATTCGGTATTCTTGTTTCCTTTTTTTGGAAAGTTGCTGTGAAAGCAGCAAAATCTTTCTGAAACCGCTTCCTTATTGGTCAACTGGGAGTATTAAAATACTGTAGAAAATATTTATATATATATAAAAGGAAACCGAAGAGAGAGGCAACTGGCAGTGAGGAAGAACAAGAGGTCAAGGATCTGCATCAAGACATCATTAACCGAAACCCCAGAATTTAGCGCTGTCAATCTGTCTATCTCCATCACCACTCCCTGAAACCTGGGAACAATGATGTCTTTCTGGGCTGTGACTTTCCATTGCTGGGTTTTCTGTTCTTGAGACAATGCTGGTCACCTCTCTCTCTCTCTCTCTCTCTCCAGATCAAACAAGCAAAACCCATAGTTATAACTGTTGGCATTCATGTGTTTAACCTTTCTTTTCATTCTGTAACGCCTCTTCTTGAAGAATCTTTAGTGTAACTTTATCATTTTTATGATTATACATTAGGGATCCAGATTATAATTGAAGTTTCTTGAATTTGGAAATATGGGTTATTGGAATCTTGATATGTTTAATTCTGGGTAACCAAGATTTTCTGGTGTTGAAATCAGAAATCAGAAATCACAAATCCATGATTTTGCTGGTTTAGAACAATGGAACCAACAAAGATATGGAGTCCACTACTTTATCTGCAACTTGGTCAAATCTTTTTGTTTAGTTCACATGATATATATGCTAAAGCAAAGCTAAGCTAGCTGTCATTTTCCAGTGATCCTTATGCTGTCACTCACAGATTTCCCCTTTCTCTCATTGTTTTTTGACCACAGATTACAGTTATAATTGGAGCAGTGCTGAGAATTGATTCTCAAAAATCATGACTTTCAGCAATTCCAAGCCTGTAAGGTTGGTTAATTACCTCTGTAATCATGAGGGGTTCCTTTTCTGTTTGGTTATTTCTTTAATAAAATCATGATTATTACTTCCAGATCCCAAGATGATCTTGAATCAGCCAAGTATGGAGATGCAATGGCTAAGGTGAAGTACAAGATTGAGGGGTCCCGATTTGAGCCAAAGAGCGGGAAGTCGTCGATAAAGGCTAAAGTACTATCCCGGGTTTTCTCAGAAGACTATGAAAGAGTGAAAAGGAAGATATTAGATCCCCGTGGACCGACAATCCGTATATGGAACAAGATCTT